GAAAAGAGACATGGCAAGGCAAAGTATTACATTTGTGTACACACACACACACACACACACACACACACACAACTAGCAGGCAAAGCAGTAAACAAGACCTGCAATGGCTAAGAGCAGGAAAATTGAAGAAAGAGACAGAGGGTCTAGTTCTGGCTGCACAAGACCAAGCCTTAAGAACAAATATATACAAAGCCAGAATTGAGAAGACAGCAACAGACAGCAAATGGCGCCTCTGCAAAGAAGCTGAAGAAACAGTGGACCACCCAGTTAGCTGCTGCAGGAAGATCGCACAGACTACAAACAATGACATGACAAAGTAGCAACAATGGTGCATTGGAATATATGCAAGAAATACCATTTGCCTGCAAGCAAGAACTGGTGGGACCAAAAAACAGACAAAGTAATAGAAAATGAAGAAGCCAAGGTGCTCTGGGACTTTAGAATTCAAACAGACAAGCATCTGCCACATAATACCCCAGACTTAACAATTGATAAGAAAATCAAAAAAGTCTGGATAGTGGACATTGTAATATCTGGGGACAGCAGAATTGAACAGAAAGAACTGGAGAAAATCACAAAATACAAACACCTGCAAATAGGAGTAGAATGACTGTGGCAAAAGAAAGCAAAGATTGTACCAACAGTAATAGGCGCCTTGGATCCAAAACATCTGGAATACCACTTGAAGACCATTGACATTGACAAAATCACCATCAGTCAATTGCAAAAGGCAGCTTTACTTGGAACAGCTTACATCCTGCATCCTTTAACACCATTAAACAACAATATCTGCCTATGCCAGGTCCTTGGGAAGGACTTGATAGGTGGACAAAAATGCCAAATCCAGTCTGTGATGGACTGGAATGGAGGAAGGGGGGTGAAAACCGCGCTCTCGTCTCCAGAGCAACGCTCTGGAGATAAGCGGAGAAAGCTGGCGCATCCCTAAACATTCCAGAAGATAGTGAATAGCTATTCTTGGTATTGCTTTTTCCATTTTAGTGAAGATATGGGACAATCAGAGAGATGGGTTATTTATTTGGT